TATGTATGTGTATATGCACACACATGTAATAACATTTTTTAAAAGAATGTTCCAAAGGCTGTGAGTTGGGTAATGCATACTTGAGCTTATTCGTGACTTTAAAGGAGGGCACTTCAGTCCTCTAGAGTATTCCCTGAAGTAATGTGCCACTTCCTTATGCCACATAGATTAGATTTACCTCCCTTGTCAGCATTTCAGCACAGTGCAGGTTGTGAGGCATTTAAAATGTCCTGTGTGATGCCTTACCATAAATCAAGAAAGTGGAGTGGCAGGCCTCGTCCCAGGTGATGTATCGAAGCCATCTTTTCCCTTCTTGCTTAGTGAAGTTTCTAGTGAATGATCTTCGCTGTGAGAGCTAAACTGCTCATGTGCTGAAGCTACTAAAAGGCCAAGGACTAAGGAATTCTGGAACTATCGTGCTGTCTTTCCCTTCACTGGGTCAGGTCACCGTAAGTCTGGGCCACTCTGCTCAGAGCAGACAGCTGACAATTAGACTTTCAAAAGCATTTCTCTGGCTCTGAAATACCTACTGTTTTCCTTGATGTTCTCTGAAGGGGAAAACCGTATCACCTATCTATTTCTTGGCAGCTCCCAGCCTGCTCCTCTTGCTCATTGCCCGGGCAGCACTGCCTGCTTGCTCCTGTGGCAGGGTTAGTCCTTGTAGGCATGGTTTCTAATGTGGACACTTATTCAAGTTTTTCTTCAGGTTCGTGTGACTAGGGATAGAAGCTTTAGCCATCATATCCACTTCAGGAAACCCAAAAGCATGGAAAGAAACCCCCTGTAGCTGTGCATCCCCTATGACAGGGTGTTTATTATTGTTGCTTCCCTGGGGGACCGGCAGGACGAGGGACCCTGGAGCACACAATAGCTAGATCCTCCATCTTCCTTCCTACCTTGATGCTCTGTCTAAAAGCCCGGTGCAAAAGCGGTGTTAGTGGTCGTTTGTCCTTCTGAGGATTCTCTCAGATCTCTCCTTTTGCTTCCTGAGGTGCTCGTATCTGCATCTGCTCCTACCCCATGGAGCCACTTGAGTTTTCCGCCTTGCTCAGTCACCTCGTGCCCTTTCTTACCCAGTGTTGCTAGTGTGTAGTCCCTTGTCCTTACCTCAGGGATTCCTGCCACCCTTCCCCGCCTCATCCCTTCTCCACAAACCTCTTCAAATGATCCTTTCCAAACACACTCCTGGTTAATACCAGCACAGAGCAAACTGCCCCTTTTCCCTCATCAAATAACCCACTTTCAATAAGCCTTGCCCAGCTCCCTAAACAAACAGCATTCCATAATCGACCTCATTCTGAAATATTGCTTCTCATAACCTCTAACCATTTGCTATTTCTCTTTTACCTCACTGAAACCAAGAAGTGCATGCATGTACACACACACAAACACACACACGCAGTGACATTGCTTTGCCTCTCGTTCCCTGAGGAAGAAAAGTTGTATGAAGAACATAAGGAGCCATTTCTGTTTCTTTAAGGATTTTTCTCCTCTAATGAAATGAGCTAACGGGGAAATACAGTGAACCATTCCAAGGCCAAACACATTCTACTGTTTATTACACATATTACATTCTTAAATAAAAATGCGTCACATAACATTTTTGCATAGATATCTTACAATATACCAATTTAAAAAAGAATTATGAAACAGACCAGTAACAAAAATAAATTTTTTCTTCATTAATAATTTTGTAACATTAACATACCACCATCATATAATACAAATAATAGTTTTAAATCTTAAGACTTTTGTACAGCAAAAAAACTTGACAAAGTAATATATTTATATATATATATATAAAAAGCTTAAAAAAAATAAAATGTCAAAAAAAGGCATAACCGAGGGCTGTAAGACTGGGTACTTCTGTGATATATTATAAATACCAGAGAAGGCCTGAGAGAATGTGACGGGGAGGTGGGGGAGAAAGGGGAGGGCTGGGAGCAGGTCTTTCCAAACACACTTGTTAGACACGTCCGGCAAAATGAAAATGTATTAGTGCAAAATTAAATTTCTTCAAGCAGTTGTGAAGAGGATAATGGAGAGTAGAAAGAAAAGTTGTCGTGGCTGGGGCTTTATGTGTTGAGAGCAGGAAGGGAGGGGGTGGAGGGAGCCCCGGGGGTGAGGGTATGGTGGCTGGGAAGTCACGTGCTGAGAGCAGGGAGGTGATGGTGTGGGGTGCGGGGGCCGTGTGGTGGTGGGAGGGCAGGCTCCAAAAAACATTAAACATTTATTTTGCCTCTGTGTTAGCAAGATCTTGACCCTAACAGGTGTATCGTTTTTTTTTTTTCCCCTCCCTGGAATGAAGCAGAAGTGAAAAACGGAAAAACTCAAAAAAACGATCTGAGCTTGGGTTAGGAAATGCATGCTGGGAAGCAGAAACAAAAGAACCGGCCAATGAGCCCCCCCCAAAAAATCTTCAGGACCTCGACTTACAGAAATTGTTCTGCCTCTGGTCCCAAGGGCTAGGATTAAAATGTCCCCTCTCCCCCTCCACTGCCCCCTCCCCCCGTATGTGGAACGGACTCCCAGCGGTGTGGTTTTTAGATACTGGCATTATAAGCATTCAACCCCCCCCTCCCCAAAGAGATTAGGCACTGGTGGCTACCCCTCTTATACCTCAGTAGCCTGTTTTCCTTCTGCGAAGGTTCAGCAGGTACATAGCAGGTGGCTGCACATGCACCTCAGTATTCTCACGTGGGGTCCTTTTTATGGCAGTAGACAGAAGCTGGGGTGAAAGCAATTACGATCCCAAAGCTCACAGTTGAAAAAAAAACGTATAAACAGTCCCCAACCAAGATCACATCAACCTTCTTCCCTCATGACCACGGAGAGGGAGCCCTGTTTCTGAAAACATAAAGAGAATCTTGTTTGGGATATCTGTGAAGTGACAGCTTTGATTTCACTCTCGTGTTGGATACCTGTTTCCCGAGGAGTTGCATGCAAATGCAGAACACCTGAACAATACAGTACTCTAGTGGAAGGGTGAGCATGAGAGAGTTCACTGCAGCTTAGTTAACTCCTTTCTGGGATCTGTGAGAGGAACCAAGAGAGGAGACTTAAGTGTTAACAACAGGAAACCCTGAAGCCTCAGGCCTCTGCCATGAGACACCACGTTTCATAGGAGTGGGTTTTACTTCCTTTGACATATTTCTGTTGTCCTGTCTCAAGTATTTCCAAAGATCCTCAAAGAGAAAAACAGCGCAGCAGGAAGGCAGCAACGTACACTCAGGCTGGGCCCAGGTCCCAATTAAGCATCCCACATTTCCCAAAATGCAGCCCAGACACTCAGAACGAGGTATCCTCCTGCCCCAACTTCTGCCACTTCCAAAAAAATTTGAGGGAAAGTTTTTGTGAGTTCATTTCCGCCAGGTCCTACCTACTTACTGTAAGATTTCAGCCACATGTGAGGTTTGCTTGATTTTTGTTTTTTAAAGGGAGAGGCAACAGACCGGTTTCTGCAGACCAATAGGTTGTGACGCTCCTTAGCTTTTTCCTTCTGAAGTAACACACGCAAAAGAGGAGAAAATAGTAGCTCCCACTTTGACATTACGAAGTGACTTCCACAGAGAAAATCGCCGTGAGCCATGACAAATAATCACTGAGGTTTTCACTGGCAATCCGTATCTTTGGGCTTTCCCATGGGATGTAGCAGTGAAGCTCGGGCAGGACTTTGTTCTGAGTGCCTGGGTCATCGAATACCCCCCACTCCCGTTTGTTCTCCCTTGGATGCAAATAGACATGGATCATTTGGAAACTTTTCCCAAATCCACGTCCCTAAATAAATTCTTCTCTGACTTCAAAGAAGATAAAAAAAAAAAAAAAAAAAAAACAAAAAAATTAAAAAAAAAAAAAAAAAAAGAAAAGAAAAACCCTAGGAATCCATTCTGCTCATCAGGCATGAGGTTGGGCTGTCTTTTTACCCTGTTATCATCAGGCAATCAAAGATGGAAAAGGATAGAGGTGGCGCACATGGGGAGGTGATGGCAGGGAGACAGGAGCATTTGAAGGACTTTGTGAAGGAAGTTGGAAAGGCTGGGAGATGGTCAGCATAAAGGTGATTTTGGGGTCTCCAACAGTTTTATAAAAGCGCAGCTTTATATCGTGGAATCCAAACGTCTCTCTTTTTTTTTTTTTTTTCTGGACAACGTACTCATCACCACAGGCATGAAGCCAGGCCAGTGAGCCAACAGTGGAACAGGAGGCCAGGAGCAAGGAGCAGCATTACAATGTCGGGTCTCCACATCCTTGAAGGTCATGTGGAGGAGATAGAGGCGTAACTGGAAGTAAAGAAAATCGCCAGTGGCTTAGAAACACGTCTTCTACACAGCCAGCTCTGGACCTTGGACAGCGAGCTCAGGAGGACAGCCTGTGTGACACACTATGCCACCTTTGCCCTTTCAAAATTTGGGATCCCTTGGAATGTTAGGAGGTAATGTTTTAAGTTGTGAAAGGGATTTTATGTCTCAAATATCTATTACACCATTCTAGATAACAGTCCTCTTGGGAGCAAAATAAATTGTTGAGCCTATTTCTTGAAAAAAAAAAAAAAAACCTGCTCTCTCCAGAGGCTCCAATCGACCATCTCTGCCTCTGAGAAGGAACAGAGGACATACCACAGACCTCTTTCTAAAATGTCCAAGGGCTGCCAATCCTATCCTGAGGTTATCTTCCACGGGTGTCCATTGTGGCTGGAGAAGAATAGATCCAAAGCCATGCGCTTAGCACCCACCAAATTCTCAGGCCAGTTCCCACAGTCAACAAAGGACTCCGAAGCAAGCAAGCACTGTCACGGCAACTCAGTGCACCCTGCTCCAAGAGAGGTCAGAAGCAGATTACAGAGGACCTCACTGATACGAAAGAGAAATTACCAAACATTTCAGACACCAAAAAGGACCAAGGGGCCTTTGTTCTGTCACATTCAAATGAAACCACAGATGACGAGAGGGACAAACAGCAATGATTACTCTTTTGTGTTTTTTTTTCTTTTTCTTTTTTCTTTCTTTTTTTTTTTTTTATAGAGCCTTGCATTGGTCAGTACAAAAATTAAATTAAGTACTATAAACCTTAGTAATAACATTTTGAGAACAAGAGCAGCTCCAGCCTGGGAGAGAACATCTGTAAATCATGGCAGACATGGCTTCATGCCATGCCCGGCGTGTGCGTGCATTCATGCTGGAGGCTGCTACCTAAGGGGGAAAAGAAACAAACCAACAGAAGTCGGGTAGTCTAGAAGGTTTCATCTAGTGCACTGACTGGAGGCGCGACAGTTCAATACAACTGAGGTTCGAGGTCCCTCACACATCCTTCATCCAAAAAGGATGCACCACACATTCATAACCCCATGGTGTGCCCTGATGGACTGGCTGCAAAAATGCACTCAAATGCAGTAGAGCATGAGATTGTCAGCAAGCAGTGCCCCAAAACGGTTTCTAAGTCATGTCCACTTTTACATCTTTGGAATAAAACAGATTCTTTTTTTTTTTCTTTAATACCCTTCAACTAACATATACATAATTGCTCTGGCAAATGGAGCTGTATGTGTGCGTGCGTGCGTGTGTGTGTGTGTGTGTTTGTGTGTTCAGAGTGGTTTCTTTTCTTTTTTTATTATTTATTTTTGGTCTAAATTGAAAAGAAAAGTAAAAGAAAATTCTAAAGGCTAGACCTCAAAATGCCCCAAGTGTCCAACTGAAAGCTATGGCATTTGTGACAAGGAGGTCCCTTTACCCTCCGACAAACAGATTCAACATTTCAGTGAAACAAAAGTTGTAGAGAGCTGAGAACCCAAGTGCCAAGGATCTTGAAGGCCGCTGTCCTATGTGTTTGGGTTGCTTACATTAGTATTATTTCCTTTAAAAGGCTTCAGTTTTGCATCCCAAATATGTATGGGGTGACATTTTAACAGTCAGCGAGTCACACAGTCAAAGGAGGGCAGGAGGGAGCCAGCTGGTATGAAGGAGCAGCAACCATGTACGGACCAGATACCATTTTTGTTTGTTAGACTTGTCTTCAAGGGATGGTCCCAGAATATACAAAATATACAATCTGCCTTAACACCCACCCCGCTTGCTTGCATAGGCCAGTTAATGGTCCTAAAGGCAGTCTTTGGAGTTTAGGCCAGTGCCAGCTAGCTAAGAGTGCGGGAAGATAGAAACTGACATTGGAATACACGTGTGTGAAATGCAGGTGAGCAATAGAACCCCCTTGGAGTCAGCTTTCAGGGTAAAATGGGAGGCCTCTGTTGATCCTGGGTGCTTTAGGTCACAAGCCATGGTGGGCCTAGCCAAAAAGAACCAGTTCCCTCCCCCCTAAAAAGGAAGCCCCCTAAACTCCTAGACACACCACAAGAGACACCTCCACCTTTTCCTTAATGGACAACCTTCATTCCCACGATGGCGTTTTGAAGCATGTATTTAACAAGTGGGTACCATGATCTCAGTGGGTAAGAGAGGGAAGAGATGGGATGACATTTTGTGAAGCCTCTAGACTTGGGAGACATCCTCTGATTCCCCCACTCCTGGAAAGAGTGATATTTTTGGCTTTTTGTCAGGTCATAACCCAGAGTTAGATTAAATACGCAGCTGCCCTTTGAGACTAGCGACATCTATGCTGTAACTGGTTACAGGGTAGCAATGACACAGCACAGTAGCTGCTCACTGTGAGCTGAGGTCATCACGCCTCAAGGAGGGACGAGAGAACTGTGATGTCCCGTCTGATTGGCTGCTTCGAGAGCTAGACATCCAGGTGCCGAGAGAGTCCTGGAGAGGTTTAGTCCATGGAGAAAACATAAAACATTTAAGCTTCCAAATAAGCTTTTTTTTTTTTCTTTCAAGTTTTCCTTAGCAAAAATCAGAGAGATTAAAAAGAAAAATTCTAGCACTGGCAAGAAGGTGAGGCTCAAGGGGTATTACTGTGACTTATCATCAAGAACGTTATTCTCTTGGCCACTTTGCAGTCATGCTAGAAGTTTCCAGAATCCCTAGTGCATATGATGTGCGAGAGTCAAAAAGAAAAAAAAATGTAAGAAAAGAAAACTCCTCCCTTGAGAGTGAAGTCTAGAGAGATGCAGGCCAGAAAGGTGTAAGATGTGGATCCACAGTCTGCCGCCACTAAGGCCATTGGTAGCGACTCAGAAAGATCTCAGTGGTCCTAAGAAGAACCAAAAGCAACCGACAGTTCTGTGAGGAAGTCTGACGCACGGAATAGTAGGACTTTTCACACACAAAGGACAAATAAACCGGGAGTTAGGTTTGGCTACCAAACTGCAATTTGGTTTTCTAGGTCAATTTCCCCCAACTATTTAAAAAGAAACATTAGTGCCACACGTATGCAACTGTAAGATGTTGGATTCTCTTATCAAATTGCACCGAGAAGCCGGTTAGGTAAAGCCCCTCGTACTGCCGGCCACCGTGAAGACATCCATTTGCTTTGTTTTCCGTTGGCAACGGCGGGAAGTAATTCCAATAGTGCTGCTCGGAGCCGGCAGCCGGCGCCTCTCGGAGTTCACCTGGCTCCCTTCTTCCTTGTCTTCTACCATCTGGCTAGGGCAAGGCATAAGAAATAGACGTATATACTTTAAATATAGTTGAGTGCATGACAGTGGGTATGTGTGTGGGTCTCTGTGTGAGAGGGTGTGCGTATGTGTGCGTGTACATGTATGTACACAGAGGTTTGTAAGCGAGAACTCTCTTCTGCGAGGCAGTGCTCCCCGCCTGAAGTCCAGCCCTCTGCCTCACGGCATTTCCTTCGGACACTGGCTGATGCCATGGCAACTCTGGCCTTTCCGGTGTTTTGCTCTTGTTGTTGTTTACTTTTGTTTTTGTTTTGTTTTGTTTAGATATGTCTCTTCATATGGAGAGCAAGATGGTCGGACCTGGAGAAACACCTAGAATGATAAACAACAAGTACGTTAGAGAGGGCCAGCTGCTTCGTTCACGTCACCGAATGGTCAGGGTTACAGACAGACAGCACCCGTGAATTACGGAGAGATGAGGAAGGCTGTAGGAGGAGTCGGATAGGGTTAAACTGCTTTAGTTCAAATCCCAGCTCTTCCAGAATCTGTGTGGCTGACAGAGACGCTCACAGCACTCTCTCTTAGGTCTGTTTTAAGGATTATGCAAGATGGATATTAGAATATCACATCGCACACAGTCGGGTGGCAATGTATGTTAACTGTTATGATTATAACTATAATTATCTAAGAAGGAACAAATTGTGGACGTGCTCTCTGTGCACACAGCATGCTTGTGTACTGTATATACAATAACCAATAGTTAGCCAGCGTCATCAGAGAGCAGAACGCGATGCTTCGACGCTCAGATGACCGTCTCAAGCTTTATGAAGAAAGCCCAGGGGTGTACGGCCTGTATGTCCATAGACTGAGTATGTTACAGTATGTAGGCATCATATTCCCCAACACTACCTTAGTGACATCTCCATGGTGACTCACTCAGTCTGTGTTTGTATATCTGTCTGTCTCTGTGTGTGTTGAAGAGCTGTAGGTGGGGAATAGTGGAATAGCGATGGGCTGAGTGAGGCCTTTGGACTAACACTTGGTGCTTAGGTTCCACAACTGAGTGCAGATGCTACGGTCATCTTCCTTCCTCTTTACTCTGATAGTAGATACATGATAGTCTCGTGGGTAAAACCCTTTTGAGGTTCTCAGTAGTGTAAAGTTGACCTTCCTTCTAAGGTGAAGGCTATGGCGGCAGTGATTGCTAAGCAACAGTCACATGACCCACAGAGGCCAAAGAAAGGTGCTTCTATAGCTGCTGAAATTACTGGAGGAGAGACACACTCCTTCCCCTGGGAGCTACGAGATGAGCTTGGAGCTGCTAGCATGCCCATATTGCCACTGTGGGCAGAGAAAAGGGTAAAAGAGAAAAAAATCTGGATGGTATCTGAGAACTGGGGTTTAGCCAACCTTAAAAGAGAACCTGAATTCCATTTCTAATTGTTATCTGCGCTAATAAATAACCTTTTATGCTAACATCAGCCTAAGGCAGGTTTCTGTATCTTACCACTAACAGTGTGGGCATCTCCTTGTGCCAACAGTGTTCAATTTTGGGTTCTGGCTGGAGTACCAATTATATGCATGTAAAACAACACCCATGCGTGGCTCTGGCTGTGTGCTCACGCTCTCTCGCTCCCTCTCCCCACCCCCACTTCTTTCCTTAAAGAAAACATTCTTTGCCTTGTCTATGAAAACATTCATAGGCTTTCCTGTAGCCTGAGATAGCCCCACCACTCAAAACCCTTGCTAGAACATCAGCAAGCTACCCATTCAGGTTTGCAGAGTTTCCTGTCCAAAGCAGGACTTCCCTGTGTTCGCTCCTTCTTAAAACAAACAAAGCACAAATCCACCCTGACCCCTGACCCCAACAGTCTCCACACCCTCTGTTTGTATCCCTTCCTTAAATAGGTACATGTGCACAACAGAACCCTAGGCGATGACAAGAGACAATGAAAAACTTATGGAATGGGAAAACGAGAGCAGAATACAGTCTAATCCAAGATATCCTGAATGACAACATAGCCCCAGCAGCATGTTTTAGGCCCTAATTTGCAGTGAACAAGCTATCTAGACAATCCCCCCGAAATAACTCTGAAACAGATTTGATTTATCATACAATGGTGATATAGCTAAATGGTCTACAGGGAACTCAGCTTTGAACTTGGACAATTCTGTACTGTCATGGGGCCCGCTGTCCTCTTCCCTTCCCTTAATCTTCCTGCCAATTTTGCCTTTTTCTAGCGTCTAGAGGCTGCCCTCACCATTTCTGGAAACTCCAACCCTCCATTGTCAAAGCAGAATCCTTAAAAATGACAGAGGGATTAAAGGAGACAGAGAAGGTTGGATGATGGAGGACTGGAGTCTCCAGCAATGAGTGTGGGCAGCCTCTAGACCACTGCTTCTCAACCTGTGGGTCACAACCCTTTCACAGTGGTCGCCTAAGACCATGAATAACATAGATATTTATATTACGATTCATAACCATAGAAAAACTAGTTATAACGTAGCAACAAAAATAATTTTATGGTTGGAGGTCGCCACAACATGAGGAACACTATTAAAGGGTTGCAGCATTAGGAAGGTTGAGAACTCCTGCTCTAGACCCTGAAAAATGGCAAGAAACAGACTCTTCCCTAAAATCATCTCGAATAGAATGCAGGCTTGAATAACCTTGACCATAACCCAGAGATGGGCACTTATGGTGAACTTAGAAGCTATACCCTGACAAGAGAATGATTTTGTAATGCAGATAAACACGAGACATCTGTGGTCACTGGCAACCGGAACATCAACCCAGCAGATAGGTGGTCAGGGTGGAGTTAGAACCTGAGAGAAAACAACAGAGCAAGCGTGTGGAACTATATCTGTCTCCAGGATATGTGGGGATTTGAACTGGTGAGGTGAGGAGAGGCCCTGGCAGACAGCTAAGCCCCTTTGCTTTCCTTTTTATGTCCTGGGAGCATATCCCTGATGGAGAACATTGTTCATTCCGTCACACGTGTTCAGTTTTTCCTTGGCTCCTATTATGGCAGGACATCTAGCCATCTATGTTCAACTATCTGCTCTTATCTTTAAATCTTTTTCAGGAAGAAAGCCAAGCCCTTTAGCCTGGTATGAAATACAACTGCATGCCAACTGATCCAAACAAGCATCTGTATTTGCTTAAACTCCAGGAAATGTCTGATATTTAGACTTTCACCAGATTCCCCACCATTACGATTTCCACTCAAGTTCAACACACCAGGTTAGGATCAACTCATATGTATCAACTTATAGTCATGGAGCTCTGCACAGAAACAGAAAAGAGTAGCAGATAAACTGGGGCACCGAAAGGTGCAGAGTCCAATCATTTTAAGGGAGGCATCCTGCAGGACATGTTCATAATGACACAAAACCTAAAGACCTTACATACCAAGGTCTTCAGTGATTGCAATTGATGCATTACCGAGGACTCCCCAAAGCCTACAGTTGTCCTCTTGCTTACAGTCCGGACAATCTGAAGTCAAATGTGTTTTCAAGCCAACTGCAATCCCCTAGGGGACTAAGACGTTAAGACCTGACTAATACTTTTTATCACCCAAAGGTATACTTCTCTAAGCAGTAAAACTCTCAACCATCCAAGACCTTGTCTGACCACCTTAGTAACGGCCACGTCTGGCTCCTGACAGCCTGCTTGGGAGAAGGGTGTTCTGCGTGTTCCCCGTAGGAGTGGGGCCCTCAAGCTCTCTAGGCTGTAAAAGGAGCCATTCCTCTGGCTCTGGGTCACACAGTGAGGGACGGTAGGTACGGTAGGTTCTGTCTGATGATGAAAATACACTGTAGTGAACCTGAAGCCTGAGGTCAAAAAGCCTGAGCGTTTTCAGGGGCCAGGCAGGGAAAGTATGTAGTCCAGTGAGCCAAATACAACAAAACACACAACACTCCCAGACTGTTTCCACTTGTGGTAAGGCACCAAATATGAAGAAGTAATATTCTTTGTAAGAGGAAATAAGACAGAAAATAGGATAACACTAGACGACAAATGACTTGCTTTCATGTTGGAGAGGCAAGAGGGATTGGTGGGGATAGTAGGAAAAGCAATCATCACAATACATGACAGCTATTCAGCTCCAGTCCACGACAACCATCTGGGAATATGAGCCCACAGTGGTCAGATACGATTGTTCCGGATTTAACTCTAAATACAGACTTGTTTTGTATGTGACATTTAACAATCTTAAACACGAGCAAAGAAAAACAAGTAAGTATATTCGCTTCATGTAATTTTAAAACTTGCACACACAAAATGGAAGCGTAAATTACACACATGTCTGTTTAAGGAAAGGAAGGTTAATCCTCATCTGGGCTCTACAGAGAAAAGGTTGACTGCTTAATGTCTGGAGCTGGCAGCCATGCATTCACGACAAAAGGGAACAGGCTCCTGGAACCAGCTGCAGATATCCTCAATTTCCAAAGGTCAAAGTCTCCTAAGGAACGGCAGCTTCCCGTCACTCCAGGCCTTCCTTTCATCTGTTCCGGGGCCTCACGACAGGACCCAGACCCGTCTATTCTTAGTGCCCTAAACAGTCACGTCCCAGCCCTTGTTCCTGACGTTGAAAATGGACTCCTCACCTAAGGCGTGGAACTCTGGTGGACTCAGAATCTCCCGAGGTATCCCATCACAGAATCTGTACTGTCCATACAGCAGATTCTATCTCCAGAGACCTCAGTGTGTTTTGGTGAGGAAAACGAAGCCGGTGACTAACCACATTACCATCACTGCTCTTTCCTTTACACCCAACAGGCTTGGAATATTTTTCCACATCACTCACACGGGTGGGTGACTGACTGATAATGTATCGGCTGCTCACTACTAGGAATTCCTCAGTGTGCTGAGCTGGCAATCTCCTCAGAGGCGCTCACTGTCTGTGTCTAAGCACTAGAGCAAGCCGTAATGCCACAATCTCCAGGCTACAGCCTCAACACCCTTCAGAGATGAGTGACTGATGTGGGTGCCTCACAGAGAACTCATCTTCATCCCAGGTGATACAGAGCAAAGTTCTTCTTCACAGGCTTGTGGACAGTGTCAACACCTATGGGTGTCTTTGTTAGCCAGGGCTGGGAAGGACTGAGCCAGAGACATTTGAGATAGAGGTTGAAGGAGGGTGTCAAACACAGAGACACTGACTGGGACTCCCTGAGGAGGAAAAGCTGTTGTCCCCCATGCACACTCTGTGCCTTCTAGGGAATGGGATGAAGGGCTGTGTTCCTGGACAGCAGACGCAGCTCTCCAGGCAGTGGAAGACAATAGCTGCTAAGGCACTTCCCACTTCCTCAGGCTTGGAGGGCGAGTGGGGGGGTGGGTGGAGGGGTTATCTCTGCACTCCAGGAGGCTTATGCTCTTTATTTAGTCCTCAGAGGACGAAGATAAGGGGAAAATAGTCTCCTCAGGAAGAATGGGGGAGGAGAAACAGGATTGTCCTTTATAAGCATCCCAAAAGAACACCAGGCCAACTTGGCTAAGCGTGGACTTGGACATCCTAGTCTACTCTCCAAGCAGGCAAACCCTCAGAGGAAGAAGGCCTGGCCAGTGGGAGGTGCAGGTGTGGAGCACAGGGACTGGGAGAGGCAGGAAGTGAGAGAGATCTCATTTCCTTCCAAGGACAGCCAGGCCTCTGTGGACATCCTGCTCCCCCCTCCTGCCATCCCGCAAGCTGCTGTCCAAGCCGGGGAACCCTGAGGCTTTCAGGGGCTTTTATTGTATTAGAAGCATTTTTCTCATCATAACCGAGACCTTTAGTATTGCATTAAAAAGATGGTTAATTTTCTTAAGCTTCCTTTTAAACACAGAAATAGGATTAGAAGGATAACATGCTCAGATGCAAGCCCATTATTTGATTATGTCTAAACCTAATCCTGCCTTCACCTTGGCCTGCAGAGTCTCCATTTTGGGGTTTATCGGCTGATAATGCCAGGGCTGTCAGATACTATTACTTGGGTACTATCTGTTGCTATGTGAGCCTTCCACTATCAAATACTGAAGGTTTGAAATTCGATTACAGGTTGAGTTTGCAGAGTATTACCATCTTTGGACCCTTGAGCATATCTTCATCAAGGAAAGAACAGTCCAGATGCCCAAAGGCCCTTCCTTTAGTAAACACATTTCCAATAATGTTTCATAGAAATGCCTTAGAAATCAACATTTCTCCCATTAATCAAAGTTTTTGTTTTTCTTTTTTGTTATGAAAGATGAGGATGGGATGGTATAGATGACAAAAAAGTCAGAAGAGGCAACCTCAATGAAATACTCTATTTCAATATACCTTTTTCCAATATACTGTAATTCTTTGCCTCATCATTTACCTGTGTGAGGAATGTCTTATCTATACCCAGTGACTAACACTTGTTCAAAGCCAATGTTGAGTAAATGCTATGCAACCGAATAGAGAGCCTGGATTTATACTACGTAAGAGAATGCATCTTCTCTTCTTTCTAAGCAGTAGAGAAGGAAAAGGCATTGCCAGGCCCATGCAGCTGGGCATGAGACAGGCCTCTATCCAGCTCCAGATCAAATGCGCTGAATCAGCCTCCAGCCTCCTGCACTATCTCCCTCCTTAGTCAAGTAGCTTCTACGTTGCCTTACCTGTCGCAGTGGTTGCATTTAAAGGGCTTTGCACCTGTGTGTTTCCTGTAGTGCCTTGTGAGCTCATCGCTCCGTGCAAAACGCCACTCGCATCCTTCCCAGGAGCACTTGTAAGGCTTCTCACCTGCAGAAGACATGGAAGGACCATGGTCAGCAAGGAAGGCTCTCACATCTGCTTATCAGGTTCGGCTGCTAGTTGACAGTCTTGGAAAATGGCCTCCCAGGTCATTTTAGGTAGGCTGTATTCCCTAACATAGAATGTCACTTAAAAACAAAAGCCTCTTGCTGTTGTGTTTTCTTTTGTTTCTTTCCCCTTTTTTTTAACCTTCAAAAGAGGCTTCACAAGAGCTTGAGATCCAGGGCTGTCATTTCAGTTCCCAGAGTCAGGACATTTCCTTCAATTGGTGAAGGATCAATTTTTATTTATTTTCTATTCCCCGGAGCACTCTGAGCCCCACGGTCCAAGCAGAAAGGAAATGTGCTATTTTCATCTGAACCACAAATGCTTCTAATTCTGTTTTTCTCAAGAACCTACAGTAATTTACCATTTCAGCCTTTCTTGTCTCTTCCCCTCCCCCTTCTCTTCCACCGCAAACCATAGCCAGGTAGCTACGTGATGAGACGGACACCTCAACCTCCTGGAAGCAGTGTTCCTTCCAGTAAATGTGACTGGGTGGACAGATAGGACCATCAACTGAATGGGAGCAAGAAAAAAAAAAAAATCACTTCCCAATTCCTGGCATTCCTGGAGAAACCTCCCAGAGGTCCTAGTTAAGAGGTTCCCATGCCTCAGTGGCTCTTCTGGAGTGTTCATACTGGATAGCAATATCCATCATTACAAAATATTTTAGAAGTCAATTTGTAGAGCAAGTTTTAGCCGCAGGGAAGCTGCTGAGAAACATGAAATCTGAGCACTCATGCTCAAGTGACCTTTTCACAGAGTAAATACAGATGGTTTGGATATGTAAGGAAAAGTGCTTGACTTTCTTTTCTTTCTTTCTTTTTCTTTTTTTTTTTTTTTTTTGTTAAACCCATCATATCTGTCACCAAACAGGACAAATATTTATACTTCCAACTATATAGTGAGCTGGTCCTAATTAAGTAGAAAAATAATGTTTAAAGCCCCATGAAGTGGAGTCCCCACAGCAGTTTAGGGTCCAAAGCTAACCTTCCTGGGGCTGGTTAATCTTGGGTGACTGTCTAACCTTGGACAAGTTAACAAAACTCTCTGTGCTCCTGTTTTCTGGTAGGTAACCATAGTGTGTACCTCTACAGGGTTGGGAAAGATTAACAATATGGCTATCAATGACATACTATAAAGTATGCAATTTGAGGTCTGGGGAGATGGCTCACTAAAGTGCTTGATGCCCAAGCACGGGCACTTCAATCTGCATCTCCGCATCGAGGTGAAAGAGCTGGGCACCGCTGTGCACACCTGTAACCCTGGCACTAGAAAGGAGAGCTAAGCAGATCCCTGGAGGTCACGAGCCAGCCACTCTGCTTGGCTAGGCTGCTGAGCTCTAGGTTCGGGAGAGAGATCCTATCTCAAAAATCAAGGGGAAGAGTGACTGAGGAAGACACCTGATGTTGACCGCAGGCCTCGACATTCACGAACACACATCTGTACGTGCACCTGTACAAACTCATAGACACAACTGTAAGAATACATACATACATGCTTACATACACATACTGCACACATGTACGCATGCATACATACCCCACACATACACACACACACACACACACAGACAATTTCAGGCTACACAGATTACACATCCAAATTACAATGGATGTAGCCATCTTTCTCCATTTTCAACAGCTGTGTCTCCATATAACCTTTAAGAAGACATTGCCCAGTTACTGCACTTGACCTATTTTTTCTTTCCACCCTTTTTTTCCCTTTAAACTCGACTACAAAGCATTCATAATCCTCCTCTTGTATCATTTAGAATCAAATCAAACATGCTTGAAATTCTTATTTCATAAAAATCGGTGCCCCAGTGAGACCACTGCTCTCATGACCCAGTACAGAGGAGGAACGAGACGTAAATTTCTTTCAAAGGGAACCAAGAATACATGCAGTGCTGGGAGCCTAGCAAGAAAGATTCGTTTTTGGAGACAGAGAGAGAGAGGAAAAAAAAAAAAAAAAAAAACACTGGAAAGGGTACACCTGCCAAGGAGCCAGAACACCTACCACTTTGCTGAATTCATAACTCAGTGCCTTTATCTGTTCGAGGGAGTGAACTTATTAGTAAGCCTGTAAATCTGAAATATTACAACAGGCTTCTTGAGCCGGGCACCTAGTGAACAGACAAGGAACCTTAGTTCCTCCCCAGTTCCCCAGTTTGAAGGAGCTGCTGGGGGTCGGGGGGGGGTGGAGAGAAGGCCTAATCAGATGTCAATTAAAAACGCTGAGAACTCATGGCTGCCGACAGCCAAGGCTGGAGTCTGTGTTCATCTCAAATACTGAGAAACAGTTCAAGTTTTAATAGTGTGTAGATGGAGAAAAGACCAGAGTGGTCTTCAGGTGTGTTCAAAGATAGCGAGTGCCCTGTCTGAAAGCCTAGTGGCCATAGCTACTTAATGCCATGAATCACACTCAGGGGCTCTGTTCTTTCCCACGAAGCCCTGGTACAAAAATATATATGTAAATATGAACTAGGCACACAAGTGTTCAGAAATTCAAAATGCTTTCCAGTCCCAAAGACCTTCAGATAACAACAATAACAATAAATTCCAAGACTGGAGTTTCCTAGTACCAGGGACCAAACATGGTCAGATCACAACAGAGAACTGAGGAATCCCACAGCTACAAGCCAATATCCTTTATTCCAGATCAATTTCACGCTGTAACTGGCTGGTCTAGCAGAGGTAGCCATGTTGTGAAGGGTTCAGAAAGGACAGAAGCAAGTGGTCCCTAGCATTTGATTTCGTCATCTCAAAAGTGTTTTAACAGTTTTGTTTCTTAAACAAATTCTTTTAACTGTTTTGTTCTTAAACAAACACCACTGAAGTTGTAGCTGTTTTCCCCCAAATACTGCAGCTGCCTTGTTTGTTCCCGGCACACAGCAGCTGTCCTGGTGGCTGTGATTCTCTTGCCACAGGGTAGAGTGAGGGTGCGGGAGGCCTGGTGTGTCTCAGAGTCAATTCTCCCGGCATTGTGTGTCTGCTTGCTGTGGTCAGGCACCGGCAGCATAGTGCAAAAGGCAGGCCCCTTTGTAACCGACATCTTAGGCATGGAACTTACATTACTCACTAGGCTGTGTTTTTTTTTTTTTTTCCTTCCTGATGTCTAATCAGTTTACCTCCAAGTTACCATTTTTGCAAATACTCATTAACGAGAAAATTTAAATAACCATGAGAGAATTCAGCAAAATAAAGGACCTGGGCCTCAACTGCACAGAGGTCAGAGATCAGAGGAGCAGAAGACATAAGGTATCCGGACTATGCCTTCCCATCCAGGACTGGGGGACTGAGGCTGCTGTACTTCCACTTTCTGTGCCCAGATCCTTAAGGTGGTCTGTACTGGTGAGGCAGGTCTATAAAATTCTTGTTAGCATTTCCACCATGGCCAAGATGGCTTCTCCATAGGCCCCAACCACCGACTAGATCTGAGGTGTGGATCTACTGATACCTACAAGGCATGAGTTCTTATCTTACTAATGAGTTCTAATCCTACCTGTGGGGATTTTTGCTCACTTAAATAAGAGGTTTAATTCTTTCTTTATAAAGAATTCCTTTTTCCCTGTTTGGGAAAGAAAAAAAATTAATGAGAGAGAAGGAGAAAGAAGGACAGAAGTAGGGGAAGAAAGAAGGTGGGAGGACAAAGGAGGAGAGACAGGAAGGAGAAGAGGGAGAGAGGAGGAGAGAGAGAGGGAAGGAAAGAGGGGAGAGGGGGAAGGAGAGAAAAGAGAGAGAGGGAGGAAGAGGAGGGGAGAGAGAGAAGAGAGGGGTGGTGGCGGCTGTTAATAATTGTAAGTGGAATAGGTTAAGCTGTCACTCATTCTTTTCCCCACTGGACCTTCTCCTCCACCCTGCCTCCCTTCTCGTCTCCACCAGATCCTCCTCCAGGATGTATAAAGCACACGACAGGTGTGTGGCACTAGAATGGGTAAACCTGGGTGCTTGCTGCACCCCAGGAGTGAGCAAATTATCCTTGAGAAGGGCATTTGAGACAGGCAGGTTAAGGAACACAGAAAGCATCAGGTCCAAAGTCCCCAGTGGATCAGACAGTAGACATAGGTGCACTCTTCACAGAGGCGGCGGCTCGCCCAGCTACGTGCCCAGCTATGTGCCCAGCTCCCAGTGCGGGAAGGAGAGCCCTCTTCAGAACCCCCCGATTTCATGTTGAATATCAAGAACCACTTTGCCTACCTGGCAATCACCTCAAGACACTTGTTTCCCTGGGGGAGACATGCCACCTCAGAGGTGATTTACAGCTGGATGAGGGCTCTTAAGCAGAGGTAAGGGTGCCCGAGAAACACAACTGACATTTATCGAGGTTGAATTACAGCGAGAATTCACGCACTCCCACAAAATGGATCTGAAATGGAGAGTGCTCTAAACCAGCACGGCATTTTCCCTGCTTCCCACGGGGTCACTCTCCCTAAATTGTGATCAGCAGGCGTGATCGATCAAACGGCACCGCCGTAAACACTTTCTGACCATGCGCCCCAAACACATGTAGATTTATTCATGAATTATATAAATGTACCAAAGACCTAGTATGTTAGGATATTGTAAAGCCTGCATTCAAGAGGGCAATTAAAAAGAATGAGGCAAATTAAACATAAATAAAGTCATACATTATTCTTGCGCTGAAAAGATTGTAAATTAAATATAAATAGAAGTTATACATTTTTTTCTTCCTCTTGCTCAGCTTCTGAGGACGGGGTCCTGGAAGACAACGGGAAGCAGCTGCTTTAGCCCCACGTGACTGGTCTGCTTCCAGTCTTGGCCCTGACAGTTTATCCTTCTTACAGCCGTCACAGAAACCTTTGAAAATTCAAATGGTAGCATGCATCTCTTTCAGGAGACCTTGGCGTATATATCCATCCCCACAACCCGCATCCTTCACATTCCATGTATTGTTGTTTTGAGGATTGAAAACCTTCTTCTGAG